TTTCGCTTCTCCTGGGGAATAAATTTTTTCAAGGCGTGTCAATTTGGTTGCAAGTGTACGATGTATGAACATTACTCGATATAATGTCAATTTCGTTGTCTATAAGATAAAGAAATTTTGCCTAGATTTTAAATGATCAGAGGATATTATTAATTAAAGTAGCATCAGTCTAGACTAGAAAATAATTCAATTGGCTCGTGTTTAGATGATTTTGTTCATTAAACCTCAGCTAGATCGCTATTTATCGCTGTAATTCGATCATTCTTACTGCTACGAAGCTAGTAAACTATTCAAATTTCCGCTGAGACTTTTTTAGAGCAGACCAACTCACCAGAATATCTTCCAATCGAGAAAAAGTCATCTTTTGAAACGTTTCTCGAGAGAGTGTGTCGTCCGGAAAAAGAACGCGAAAAAAACGTAGAATTGATTCGCGAAAAAGCAATAACGAAACGTGATAGTGACAAGAAAAGGGATCTGTAAGCTAGATTAATTTAAGATCGTTCGATATACTCGGTTCCAAAGATGATTGCCACTTGATTCTTCGAACGTGCACGCTCCTAGAACGATCGATTCTTCGTCGAAACGATAAGTAACTCGCGGATGAACGAAAGGGAGAGAGAGAATGTGACGATGATGCTTAAAACACGGTCGAGGGGGGATCTTTCGGCCATTGATAAAAAAAAAAAAGAGAAAAAACAGAACCGAGATACGATAAAACGTCCGATTGTTAAAGGCTTATAAAGTATAATACTTATAATGTTCAGCGTGAACTGAGGACTCGCCATTTTTTTCTAGACACGGCGTACCTCGAACATCGTGAAATCCTAAGTCTCGTTAGAATAAAAAAGAAGGGATAGATAGAAAATTGAGGAGAAGGAGAATAAAGATAATAAAGGTGAAATAAAATTGAAATAAAGAAATAAAGTTAAGTAAAAAGAGATGAAAAGAAAGAAAAGAATACAAAATTTTCTCAACTTCTTCGTTATCTTATAGAATGACAATTCGAATCGCGTCTCCAGGATCTTTGAAAGGATTCCACGGTGGTTAAGAGAGTTCGAGGAACGTCGACGAGTTTGTTCTTTGTTCGCGATTCGATTTTGCACCGTTCTCTCGTACGTAGTAGAAAGTTCGTCTAGGATTCTCGTATTATATTTACTTACTCGTCCAACGTTAATTCCACGGAGTCCAACTCGAAACGCAATTCACGTTTTACGCGCCTTGACGCGTGTCTTTACGATCCTGTGAAACATCGTTCTAGTTCAATTACTCCCCCGATTGTTAACGACAAATGTCCTTTTATCGCTTTCCACGCATCACGCGGATCAAATAGGCCGCAACTTTCGAATATCCTAGCCGCAGACACGCTCCATTTTTTCTATTTACATCGCGCATTTTTTAAGTACTTGACTGATTGTCCAATCGCTGATCGACAACCAATTTTTCTATCGTTCGAGCTTCTCCGTTTTAGACGTTCGAATTCTCTCTTTTTAATATACGCTTCAAAGATTTCGAATATCTCCGAATATAAGGAACCTTACAATTAATACGGTGATACGATGAAAGTTTACGATTTTATTGAAAATACCTATCTGTCAGGCTTCTTTTCCCAGTCGATTGCAAAACCGACTTGTTAAATATTCGCGGCGAATAGAAATAATAAAGGTGAAAGAACCTTGGTGCAGCGTCGCTTGTCGGAGTATAGGCTCTCAGGGAAGCACAATTAACGCGTTTTAATTAGAAGAAACTCCGAGACCGAGGTACAAACCAAACCGACCACGATTCCAACGCATATCAAAACGAACGATTGTCCGTTTCATACGAGGAAAGAGGAAATCGATGAAACGTTCTCTTTTGACGAAATTCAAAACACGAAGACGAATCACAGTACTTTCCACGGTTTATAAGTACGGTATTGATTTTCTGTTTTCTCTTTACGAATACAAAAGAGAGATTCTCATGTAAAGCATATTCGATAAACGTGCATATATCATATACTAGAGATCACGGTTTTGAAAACGTGGACTAAAATATACGTGTACATATGGTATGTGAAAGCTAAAGTTATAATCTTATATAGTTTCAATATTTGCCAGTATAAGCGTCAACATCAAAGCATTTTTATGAAAAAAAAAAAAAAACGATAGTCCGACTTTTATTTACAAACTCTTACAATTTCTCTTTGGAATTTCTCCGTTATAACGAATGCAATGAAGTGTTACAAGATTTTTCCACCTTCCACTTTATCAAAATCGCTCCAAATGCATTGCAATTAATAAAAGAATACAGTATTTAAAAACAGTTGACAGACTTTTATTTGTTGACTTGAAGAAGCACATTCTTGTTTTTCTACATGCGATTTTCAAATGTTACGTATTATAAATTAGATAGATCTAAATTCGTTTACTATATGTATATGTGTATACACGTGAAATGGGGATCTTTAATATATAAATACGTATCATCCGATGCTCGCATCTATTTGCGTGTATCGACTAAACGTAACACCTTCACCAAAAAAAATCATACCTTGCTTGTACAGAAAAATATTCCTACACAACCAAGACTTCTTTTTAAACTCTTCAAAAGTTAATTTAAAAACAAAAAGCAAAAAAAAAAAACAGAGAAAAATGAAAGTAAAAAAAAAAATGACGAAGAAAAACATCGAAACACCGTTTCATATCTTAATCGCACAAGAGCTTGATGAGTCCAAACATAGCACGATTTTTGCTGATAAAGAGGGCTGTAAATTGGTCACAAGCGTGATTTTTCGCTTCCCTTCTCTTTCTTTTTCGTCTTTCTTTATTGTTTTCATCGTTCGTTTCTTATCATTCGCGCGACACCTCGTTGAATCGATTCGATCGAACAAAACGATCGAAACGTTGTTACACGCGACGCTTAAAAACGGCACAATAATCTTTGCTCTTTCGACTTTGCTAGATTCGTTACGCCGTCGAGATCAATCGTAGGCTATGAAAAAAAAAAAGAAAAAAAAAAAAAATGACAAGTCAGTGTGGACTTTTGTATATTTACTTGGCTAAAGTTGAGTGGGCAGTCTTAACGATATCGCCGTGACATTGTCGACGCAGCATTTCCTCCGATTATACATCCCATAAATATCATATTTTATTTGTATTATTCTAGTTACGGAAGAAAATTCTGCCGGTCGCGCTTAAGAATGAATAATCGACGATAATAACACAGAATTCAGCATGGAACAATCCGTATGTTCATAGTTAATAAAACGTCATGGCACTTTCGCATTAAGAGGGAGACAAATGGTAACGTAACATGACAGTGCTTGCTTAAATATTAACATCTATCTACTACTACACTGTTAATAACTGACGTTCGTTTTCTTACACGTATTCAATCACGTAATTTTATAGATCGTTTACTATCTTCAAATGAATTGCATAATTAAATAGGTTTATTCCTACTTATAAAGCAAGAAGTACTTGTTCTTATCAATGCGTTTAACGAGAAGTGTCTTCTCCTGCTGTATTTTATTCGAACAACTTCCATGATTATTCAGAAATAGTCAACAATATTTTGCTACTCTTCTCTAAAAAAAAAA